TTTTTTTTTTTTTTTAGTTTCTAGCGTTGCTAGTATCAGGATTCTAGACTATCGTTAGACATGTCCTCCAAGTTTGTTTAGTTTTTGGTTGTATTATTCAACTAGGAATTGTATCTTTGCACATTTGTGCGGTTTGTTATATAATAATGTTTAATATCTATGTAGTCTTGAGACAAACTTTTAAAAAATAATTTTATATTAATTTGATATTCACACTTAGCTCATATAATTTTTTTTCCAACTAATAACATAAGCATAAGTATGGCATTTGATAGTAAAAGTACGGCAATTTTGTTCACCTAATACAACAGATCCACCCACCTAATTTAAGTGGTCTCACACAAACTTTTGTGAAACAACAACTAGTGTTGATACTAATTACAAAGGATAAGGTATGGATAGTATGGACTGGATAGTCCATATTTATACTCAAATTTTGTGTCACTTTGACTTACCTTGTGAAATACATGAGCACACCACATTTTTAACTGCAGTTGGACTAAGCACTTGTTCAAAACAAGGGTGGGTATGAAAGATATGTGCAAGAAAATTTTAGACAAAAAGGCCACTGTAAAACTGAAAAAATTCTTCCCAAAATCCAAGGAAATTACATCGAAACTTCGACTCGAAACTTATATACAAAACTTCCAAAACATAAAACACAACACTGACACGAACCCTCTCTCCTTTTTGTCTCTCCATGCAACCTATATGAATCAGCAAACGACGAACAAATATACAAAGTGCGAGAAAAAAAAAAAAATGAAAATTCAAAAACTGCCTCAACCGTGACGAGAAGGGCAAAAATTAAAATATTAGCCCGTAACCGAGACACTATGAAACGGGGACCTAACTGGCATTTATTTGTCATCATTTAATAACAAAATGTTTATACAACATGGTGCCAATAATATAGAAGCAAACAACAGGTCTGAAAAGTTAAAACTTCTGCAAGGAACTGATTTCACTAAACACAAAGCAACGTAAAGGCTCACAGCTTAAAATTGCCCGAGTAATTCAAAAAACTCAAACATCAGCTATGTGCGATTAGTTAGGAAGACCCGTTTCAGGGTTGATAAGGGATCGACTTTGATCGGTTAACACTATTGGACCTCTCCCAGGCCTTGTGCAGATAAAGTAGCTAACATCACCTCGGTTTCTGTGGGTTGATAGATTGTTATCCTTGATTTCAGGAGGTGGGGACAAAACATCCACATCCTTCATCCCGTGAATCCCGGCATCTTTTAATATCGTTTTGTCACCAATAACATAACTGTGGAGAGGGAGAGGGAGAGGGAGAGGGAGGGAGAGAGAGAGAGGGAGGAATAGTTAGTTATGCTGGGATACAAATTTTTTCCAAAAAGTTCCAATCATTTTTAACCAATCACTTATTTTAACTCAACTTTAACTCAACCCCGCTATCTTCAATACTATCAATATAAATAAATGATACCACTCAATCATTCTTCCACATTACATCAACTTTAATTAACTATAAATTTAATTAATCATCACTTCACATCTTCCCTCTCCTACTTTTACATCAAATCAATTTTAATTATTTTATTTTAAATACTATTTTAATATAAACTCAAAATCCCACTAACTAACCATACCACTTTTTTCAAAATTAACCACACCAAACCAAAAAATCCAAACAAAATCAAATATTTTATATCCAAGCATCCCAAGGCCTTGATTGTTTGTACGATATCTGGTCTCTTTTACTTTAGATCAATAATTTTTTTAACTCAAAATATAAATTATATAACAAAACTAACTCTCCTCAATATTATCAGTACAATTAATACCAATCAATCATCCTCACACATCACATCAAACTTTAATTCACTATTCATCCACTCACATAATTTTAACTACTCATTACTTCCAATAGCCTCCCTCCCACTTTTACATCAAATCAACTTTAATCATTATATTTACTTTAATCATTATATTTATATATCTTTCGTTCAAACTTAAACCAAATCAACTTTTTCAAAATTTACTCTTGTTAACCAACAAATCCAATCAAACAAACATAACTTATTACATCCAAACAACCCCCTAATAGAGTTTGAGAGGTCTCTGAGCCAAGAAAATCCCATTAAGATATGAAGGAAAAGAAATCTTGTTTCAGGATTGTGTATATACCTGTTCAGATCAGTCTCCGATTGTGGAGGGAAGTAAAAGAGCAGCCTCTGAAGCAAAAGGGCGGCAGTCTTTCTGTTGTGAGAAATTAGTACTGCATTTGGCCCAGCATCAAATGTATAAGCCACCTGTTAAATAAGTGCCTTGCCATCAACTATCTTGATTATGAAATGGATATGCAAATGAAGGCCACGTGCTGAGGGTCAACAATGTCGGGGATTAAAAATTGGACATTCAAATAACGGTCTACTGTGCAGCCAAAAACAACCAAAAAGGAAAAAAAAAAGTTGCTGAAATCATGAAGGTACCGTGCGGTTATCCGGATTAGGAAAATATTAAATAAGATTTATAGAAATGTTGTTTTGACATATAAGGTGCAACAAAATTTTTTACCCTTGCAAGAGTTATGGTGGTTGTTGGTTTTAAAAATGATGTGATATGTGAAATCATTAATTCGTGCAACGCATGCATTATGTCAAAGTGCATGAGAACTTTTTATGCAAGAGTGATCCAAAAGTGTACTACTTCCATTAGTAGAACTCATTAATATTTAAAAATGGGGTCTGCAAAGTCTAGAATGCAGGTGATATTTTAACACACGAAAGCAAAGAGAGAAAAAAGTAGTACCTGCGGTGTTCCTTCATGGCGATTCCATTTCTCAACAGCATTGATAATCCTGGAAC